TACCCATAAGAAGTTGAGCCGGACTGTATCCATTTTGCAAGGGGTTCGCTCTATAAGCTAAAAGAGCAAGGTATGGATCATTGGCTTTCTTGAGAAGAGCCTTCACCATCTTGACTGCCCTTTCGGCCTCACCGTTGCTTTGGGGAAATCTTGGGTTACAATACTAGTTACATGAACAAATCCATATGAAGCTGCAAAGGATGCAAATGAGTGCCCAGAGAATTGTGGCCCATTGTCAGTAACCAGTGTCTCTGGAACTCCATGACACGTGAATATGGACTTCATGTGATCAATGACATTGGTAGACCTGGTAGGTATAAACTGAGCTATCTCCACATGTCTGGAGTAGTAGTCTACCACAAGCGGGTACGTCTTGTTTCCCAACATGAACAAATCTGCCCCTAGCCTTTGCCATGGCCTATCAGGGAACTGAGTGGGCATAAGGGGTTCCTGTCTATCTTTAATGCATGTCCTGCAGTTGAGGACTATTTCCTTCAGCTGATGACTTAACCCTGGCCACCACACTGACTGACTTGCCCACTCTCTGCATTTCACAAGTCCCAAGTGTCCCTCATGCAATTTGTTTAGAACACTGCTTCTCATGGCGGCTGGAATAACCAGCCTCGTGCCTCTAAGCAACAGTCCATCTTGCATAGTTAAGACAGCACGTTCTGCCCAATATCATTTCACTATTGGGTCACTCTTGCTGCGCTCTGTCCACCCTTCAACGCACAGTTGCATCACACTGGAACAGACATTGTCACTCATTAATTCCTCTCTCAGCTGTCCCAGATACATTGTACTTGCTGGTAAATTTTCCAATAGTGAGTCTACATATATGTCCGTGTCCTCCCAGAGTTCTCGGTCTTCTTGTGACTCATTCGGTTTTACAGGAGTGCGTGACAGTGTCCACTACCCACAAGCTCTTTCCTGGCACGTGAACGATGGAGTAGGAGTACCTACCACATCAGTCGCATTTTAAACCTCTGGATATGAGAGGGAAGAGCATCCAGAGCTTGAGCTCCTAAGAGACTCCGTAATGGCTTGTGATCGGTCTCCATTTCAAAGTGCTTTCCAATGAGAAATTTACATTTAACCAGTTGAATATGGAGAGGCACTGAAATGTAGACCTTGTTTATGTACACTGTACATGAGGTCAGAACAGTTAGCCATTTAGGTTGGTACATTAGCATGGACTCACTAACTTTAACGTTAGCTAGTTTTAGCCAGAGATACCTTGCAGCACAAGATGACATTAACATTCTGCTTGAGATGAAAATTATAATTTAATGAGTATACGACAACCAGAAAAATTAACGTTTTAGTCTTCATTGGGATTGGGGTTGAATGCTTGGGGATATTTTGCTCAAGTTTAGGAAATGTAATAAAACAAATTCCATTGCCCATCCTCGCAGGATACATGAAATCAGTGTTACAAGTACCCCAGGCACATCATTTTTCATTTGTGTAGCAAATATCAAACCGATGAAAGCTTCGGATCTTCCAGTGTTTCTCTGGAGACCGAAAATCCTTCCAAGCAGTTTGCGCAAACAGGGAACATATGCCATATGAATAAAGCACTGAATTGAAAAGATCGCCAGTAAGTGTTATGCAAAATTCCCATGGCCATTTCAATGACCACATCGCCGACAATTCCCTTGACCGCTTCCCTGGCCATGGCCGCTGCCCTGGCCCCGACCGCTGCCCTGGCCCTGGCCGCTTGCCTGGCAACTTGCCTGACCATGTGGTTCACTGCATGCAAAGCCACTGGTGGTTGGGCAACACTTCTGTGTGGCAGGCCATCATGAAAACAGCTTTCAGCACACAGTGGAATCTGTCCCGGTATGGGACATTGACCCGGCTTCACTGCGTGGACACCGATTTAGTTTGTTAGTTTTAGCCAGAGATACCTTGCAGCACAAGATGACATTAACATTCTGCTTGAGATGAAAATTATAATTTAATGAGTATACGACAACCAGAAAAATTAACGTTTTAGTCTTCATTGGGATTGGGGTTGAATGCTTGGGGATATTTTGCTCAAGTTTAGGAAATGTAATAAAACAAATTCCATTGCCCATCCTCGCAGGATACATGAAATCAGTGTTACAAGTACCCCAGGCACATCATTTTTCATTTGTGTAGCAAATATCAAACCGATGAAAGCTTCGGATCTTCTAGTGTTTCTCTGGAGACCGAAAATCCTTCCAAGCAGTTTGCGCAAACAGGGAACATATGCCATATGAATAAAGCACTGAATTGAAAAGATCGCCAGTAAGTGTTATGCAAAATTCCCATGGCCATTTCAATGACCACATCGCCGACAATTCCCTTGACCGCTTCCCTGGCCATGGCCGCTGCCCTGGCCCCGGCCGCTGCCCTGGCCCCGACCGCTGCCCTGGCCCTGGCCGCTTGCCTGGCAACTTGCCTGACCATGTGGTTCACTGCATGCAAAGCCACTGGTGGTTGGGTAACACTTCTGTGTGGCAGGCCATCATGAAAACAGCTTTCAGCACACAGTGGAATCTGTCCCGGTATGGGACATTGACCCGGCTTCACTGCGTGGACACAGATTTAGTTTGTGCATATAGACTGTATGCAACTTCAATTTACAGCACTTAACACTCAAAGCATGAACAGCAAGTTTTACCTACAGAGTGAATTATATTCCAAGTATTATTCCTCTTTTTTTGTAAAGCCATCCTGTGCTTAAAACTACCCTAAGGGATGAATTCAAACCAACTTAAGAGAACAACAAAAGGAAAAGTCTCTACTTAAAACTTACGTTGAATCCAATGCATTACTCGTGTGCGCGGGTTTTTTTTGGGACCCTTAGCATCCATTATTAAATGGAAACTCACTGAAAACAGGCGGCACACAAACAGGCCCCAAATCAAATTGACAGCATTTGTCTCCTCCAGGGCAGTCTTTTTCAGAAAAACATCCTCAACGGGAGGGCACAACTGCCAGCCTCGCCGGACAGAAACAGTCCACTAGAGGAATCAAGAGGATCATTAGGGAAGGCCAGGGAGTACGGTTTCAGCATTGGTCAATCGGGTTTCGCAATGTGTATCAAACCTAAATACAAATTTTACATATTTGTCGGCTTCAAATCAAGTGTTTTAAAACATACTACTCATTCCTAAAGCGTGTTAATTACTTTCAAAGACTGAGAGTCACTTATTTCTGCATTTCTTCAGGCTGTGTAATGAAGTCAACATATCTTCTCACCTGTGGTTCGTCTTTGAATAGCGGGAGTTATGCTCAAGTATCCGAACAGACACGATAAAACAGCAATCAACGAGAAATGCACTCGAACTGTCATTCTCCCGACCTGCGATCTCACAACGATCTCTGCTGGAAAATGCGCTGAATTGGTGCGTCAAGAGGAGCGGACAGCGAAGCTCACAAAACTAAAATGAATACGTGTTGCTGCAATATCAACCTCTGTAAAATGGGGCTTTATAGATCCAAGGAGATCAGGTAAATTCCAACCCTGATCAAACTCACCTGCCTGTAGTTTTCTAGTAATCTGGAATGCCTTGATTAGCTTGTTCAGGTGTGTTTGATTGGGGTTGGATGAGCTGAATGCTGCGTTCACGCCATGTCATAATAATTAAGGTAGCCTACTTACGAGAGGATTGTGCGTTTCTATGGCAACACTATCAACCGCAAAATGAATCTGCAGTGGTCAGGTGGTACAGTGATCACGAGTCGGACTCGTAACCCAAGGTTGCGGGTTCGAGTCTCGTACCGGCAGGGATTGTAGGGGGGGGGAGTGAATGTACAGCGCTCTCTTCCACCTTCAATACCACAACTGAGGTGCCCTTGAGCAAGGCACCGAACCCCCAACTGCATCAAAAAAATGGCTGCCCACTGCTCCGGGTGTGTGTTCACTGCTGTGTGTGTGCACTTTGGATGGGATAAATGGAGAGCACTAATTCTGAGTATGGGTCACATCACTTTACTTTATTATATCTGTATCCCCCTAGGGGGCCCCCTCTCGCGTTACGCTGGATGTGCTTGCTTTTTCCTTGTGATGTGTCAGCCGCCATTTTCAAACTTGTGCATTTGCTAATTTAAACATGAAGAGGACTTATCCGTCTGGCAGCCAGAAGCAGAAAAAAGCAAGAAGAGGAGGAAAAGATGAAATATGACAGCGGTAAATGATGGAGATAAGATTGACTAAAGGATCAATCAAATGATTTCGTTGTTAATTCCAGCTTATTTTCGTTTAATTATTTGCTAGATTAATTACTGGTAATAGTCCAATTACTAATATGGTTAGTGGGAAACAGGTTAGCTAGGGTTGCACTTAGCAGCAGCATTTTATGTAGTGTTTAGCAGGTATTAATATAGGCTGCAATAGAATAGGTGGTACCGGGGAAGATGCGTTGGGGTCTTTTTACAGTTCCAGACAGTAGTATCAACTCAATTATGTACCCGCTCGAAGTCACCCGCTTTCAAACTCTCCTGTGTGTTTTTGTGTGCGCGCTCTGGTTTCGAATCACAAAACCAAAAGTTTCTATTTATAATGTGTTTTGCAGTGTTGAGTATTGTAGCCAATCACAAGCATCTCTTCATTCAGAGTTTGAAGAAAAGTTTAAGAGGACCAAACGGTCCACGTATACTGTTTCAGGAATGACAAACGCGAGTGTAAAAAATGACGTGCGTGAATCCGCTAAATTGATCCACCATTGACGGTGGTAAGATAACTGTAGCAATGAACGTAACAAACTATCTGACAAGCCAATGTCAAAACAGAGCTGTGCTTTAAGTGATGCAGCGTAAATTCAGAGTCTGTGTTGCCTTTAGCAGCTTCTACAGGTAAAGATAACTTAAAGCACTCCTTTTGATGTGTCCTTTTCAGGCAGTGTTTGAATTTTTTTTTATAGTTTTTTTAATTAAATCTAAAAAATGCCAAAATATGTAATGCATTATTTAATTACTATACCATTAATAATTAACTTAATTTGTAGTTAACTAGTTAAGTATTTAAATAATTTACCATAGTAGGCTGTTGGTGTCTGGGCTTATTTATTTATTTACTTATTTTTAAATGACATGAGAATTTGTGAATCTCTCTCTAACACACTTTTAGCTGCATATACCATGAAACATTTTAAACATAGCCTCTTTTACTTTAACTTTTACTTTATCTTATTTAAACAGTATATTTCACAAACACCCCAAGCTTTATTCCAGTTCTAAATACACTGGTCCACAATAAGCTTTTGACCTGTATCACCTGTTATAATATATTTATTAGTACAACTGTGTTTAAGAATATCAACGTCTCCTAGGGACATGCTGTCTTTAACATATATTGTCTCAGAAGAATCACTTCCATAAGCTCTTACAAATTGTATTACTTGCTGGGCTATGGCGTCAAATACGACAGCATACTCGTTTGGTGTAACTGCGCTCTAAAAATGCTTTAAAGGGGTCATATGATGCTGCTAAAAAGAACATTATTTTGTGTATTTAGTGTAATGAAATGTGTTTGTGCGGTTTAAGGTTAAAAAAACACATTATTTTCCACATACTGTACATTATTGTTTCTCCTCTATGCCCTGCCTTTCTGAAACGCGTCGATTTTTATAAAGCTCATCTGTCTGAAAAAGCGAGGTGTGCTCTGATTGGCCATCTATCCAGTGCGTTGTGAATTTCTCAAGCGTGTGACGGAAATGTTGCGTCCCTTACCATATTGTGATGCCTGCGGCAACCACATGTGACGACCCCGGGCTAGACTCCGCTTCAGCCACGGTGAAAGCCGATCCGGCGATCGACAGTGCGAAGGTGAAGTATTTCCTCAGCGACCAGCACGGATCAGCTCTAGGCATGACGAAGCGATATCGTCCTCTTTTGGAAGACCAAACAAAGTAGTTTCGCTTTCACAACGAAGCACACAGCGCTTTCACGACATGGCGGCGGCGGCAACAATACTACATCGAGAATAAAAGTTACACCTTCTTTCTTTGCGTGAACATTTGGGCGGCGTTATGCAAATCTTCCCAGATAGTGACGTAGGTATGTGGGGGCGTGTTAGAACGAGCCGTGTTAGGTAGGTTTACAGATCTTCTTTATGCACCAAGAGCTTGTCACACTCCAAAGAGAAAGGAAAAATTGAAATCGCATCATATGACCCCTTTAAAACAACCCAATGTGGGTTATTTTGCCAACCGAGCGCTGGGTCAAATATGGACAAACCCAGCTGGAGATGATGGGGGTTGGTGTTAAAGAATTGTGTTATAATAACCCCTACAAATACAACTCATTATATACACTATAAACACTTTAAAGGAGACAGACATGTAGATGTTTGTGAAAGATGTTTTCTCTGTTTTGGAGGGATGCTTATTTTTTAAATCAAACCCTCTTTATTGTATCAAAATTAGTTAATACTTTACTATTTATGTTAACTGATGGACTCGTAACATTTCCGTCACACGCTTGAGGAATTCGGCCAATCACAACGCACTGGATAGCTGGCCAATCAGAGCACACCTCGCTTTTTCAGACTGATGAAGTCAGGTGGATTACTTATTGTGATGTTTTTTGGGGGAAGTCGTGGCCTAATGGTTAGAGAGTCGTAACCCAAAGGTTGCGAGTTCGAGTCTCCGGTCCGGCGATGAATGTACAGCGCTCTCTTCCACCTTCAATACCACGACTGAGGTGCCCTTGAACAAGGCACCGACCCCTCAACTGCTCCCCAGGCGCCGCAGCATAAATGGCTGCCCACTGCTCCGGGTGTGTGTGTTCACGGTGTGTGTGTGTGTTCACTGCTGTGTGTGTGCACTTAGGATGGGTTAAATGCAGAGCACTAATTGCTAGTATGGGTGGCCACATGTCACTTCACTGTTTGGGCACAGTTGTGATGGCACCCGTCAGAACGAGAGGAGAGCAGAGGATCCGTTGGAGAGCAAGTGATGTAATTTAGTAATGCTAAATTTCTCCAATTCTGTTCTGATGAATAAACAAACTCACCTATATCTTAGCTGGGACAAAGGTGAGTAAATTATCAGTGAACTATTCCTTTAATCTAGCATTGCATCCTCGAATAAGTGATAAATAAGAGAATAATGCATCTTTTGAGGAAGAGAGAAATCGAACAAAAATTAAATTAAAAATATTGCACATGAAACCAATAATCATTTTTTCGTCCTTTTATCTTCTTTCATTCAGTGTAGCATTAACATTTCTACCATTGGCCAGGTAAGCAATTTTTTCCTTTGCTTTAAAACTGTGATTCAAAACCAGGTGGTACTCTAAAAGATTCTGATTTACTTTGTTCAACCTGTAAGTCTTTGTATCTTAAATTCGTAACTTCTCATTAAATCTTTACTGACTTGTTCATGGCTCATTTCATGCTTTTGAGTTTGCTTTATTTATATTCCACCATTCAAAGAATGAAAATGACTTTACTTTTGTTAACCAAAGTTCCACCTGGATTTCATTTATAAATAAATTCACCATTAGGCATTAGGCCTTTCTCAGAAAGTTTCTCTATGATTGCACCCAGGACTGTCAAGATGTGTGACAGACAAACAAGCTCAGGTGTCTCATTAAAGCAAGAGGAAGATACTTGTCCTGTTTTTTTCAGCCACAGTAACAATAGTTTTTTAGTCTAAAAGTGAACCATTGTAATAACAGCTGCTCTAATAATATTAATGATATTATTAAATGAGTCAACATGGGGGGGGGTTATTGACATTGGTGTCGATGAACCTGACAGCTCATGCAAAAATTAGAATTTGCTGAAAATTTACTCACCCTAAGGCCAAGATGTAGATGAGTGTGTTCATCAGAACAGATTTGGACAAATTTAGCATTACAGTAAATGGGTGCCGTCAGAATGAGAGTCCAAACAGCTGATGATTCCAATAATCTACAAGTAATCCAGGAGTCACATAAAAAATTCACATCAAAATCCACCGGCAGTCTTTGTAAACGGTGCTTGATCAGTGCATATTTCTCTCTTGATTCAGATGAGATGAACTTTTTCTTTTTTACTGGAGAAAGCAATACTATGGATAGAGGACTTATTTTAGTCAAGAAACAATGGTTTGAAGTTATAAAACATTTATTATTTGTTTATTACAAACACACAGCTTTTCACTTTACTAGAATCATTTACATTACTTGTGGCTTATTGTGATGTTCTTATCAGCTGTTTGGACTCTCATTCTTATGGCACCCATTCACTGCAGAGGATCCGTTAGTGAGCAAGTGATGTAATGCTAAATTTCCTCAAATCTGTTTCCATGACGAAACAAACACATCTACATCTTGGATGGCCTGAGGGTGAATACATTTTCAGCAAATTAAAATTTTGGGGTGAACTATTCCTTTAAAGCAGCTTATACATGGCATCCATCCTTACATTCTATAGCACAGCGCTGGTCAGACGGTTTCAGGTTTAGTAGCCACGAGGGTTTTTAGGATTATAGCCAGACCATTCA